ACTCGATTGAGTCTCACTTTAAAGGGAGATTTTCCTCTCTAAACTAGGCTAAGGTGGCAAATTAGATTACTAGCACCTAAATGCACAAACTTAGGGGTGCTAAGCACAATTATGCACAATCCCTAGGATGCTATGCACAACCCCTAAGTTGCTAAGAACAAGCATGCATAATCATGGTAAAAATGCCTCAAACATTGAATTGAACAACACCCAATATCAATCATCCAAACCACATATAAGAAAATTACATGGTAGAGTTAGGATTTCACTACACCCAAGTGAAAAGAGGTCTACTCCATGGTAGGAATGGGAAGAACAATAGGGAAAAAGGTGGAAACCATCTTTTGGGGATGCCTCCTCTCTACTTGACCCTTGAGCTAAGATCTCCTTGGGGAAATCTTCCCAAAATCTGCCTTGAATCCAAACCCAAACCTTCTTCTTCCCATTGGTTCTGTTTCTCTCACTAGAATGATGAAGAAGGTATTTTTCTCACAAAAGTGGGCTCTCTCTCTCCTCCTTGCAGCTTAGCTTTTAAACCCTAGAAGAGCTGAGTTCACGGCCATGAACCATCAAACGCGTCCGTGAACTCATGACGTGCGCCAAAACGCTCCGCATCGCTCACGTAAGTTCACCGACAACTACTTGTGTTCACGGTCTTAGTAACCGTGAACTCACCTAGCGTCAGTAACCTTCAAATTGGCTCTGGACGTCTTGCGATTCACGGTCAACTCCCCTTATTCACGGTCTTGCATGATCGTGAACTCATTCCTTTAGCCGTGAACTGGCGCGTTTTCACCTCTCCTCTCGGTTTTCGATCCTTTTCGCCAATCTTTCCACTCCGAGACTGGTTTCACCTGTTAAATCCTAAAACACCAAGAACCTAGCGTAAAACCGACCTTTAAGGAGCAAATTTGGCACAAACATCTAGGTAAACTGGGGGGTAAAACATGTGCAATTAGGCCCGAATCATGCCACTTCCACCACGACGGCCTGGCCCCTGGTAATAGAATGTCGTCGGAACAACGGAGGCTCGGCTTTGAGCTTTCAGGTCAGCCTCAAATTCAACAAGTGAGTCAAGAAGCTCTTCAATGGTGACGAAAGTTCCGTGAGCACGAACAGCAGCAGAGAACTGGTTATAGTCTCTCCCAAGACCACGGAGGTAATACACAACGAGATCCAAATCCTTAAATGGTTCATCAATGAGAGCAAGCTCAGCAGCAGTGAGTTTTAAATCATTCACATAGGATATGACATCTTTATTTCCCTTGTTTGTGCCAGCCAATTTCCCCTTGAGATAAATAATACGGGATTGAGAACGGCTACCATACAACTTTTCTAAACCCAGCCATTCTTCACGAGATGTAACGCAGCAGAGACATATGAATAGAGAGATTCGGAGATGGAGCAGCGAAGAGCATGAAGAATTAGCTTATCTTGGCGATACCAGCCACGGTACGCGGGATTGGGGGTGGTGGTGTTGTTCGCAGTGAGCGTTTGAGCAGGAGCAGCACCGGTTCCGTCGATGAAAGAAATAAGATCCATTCCCATTAGCAACGTCTCCAATTGTGATCTCCAGGAATGGAAATCGGTCGAGGTCACCTTCAGAGGCAACTGGGCTGCCGGATTGAAGGTAATGATCGAGTCTTCGGAGTTGGTTCCAGAGCCATCCGAAACTGAGGATCCATACATGGCGAAATAGAGGAACAGCTAGACAAAAACAGAACTGTATGAGGAAGACAAATGAAGAGGAAGAAAGCTGGATCGAGGCTAGGTGATCTTAACTAGCTCTGATACCATATTAGAGTTTTTAGAATAGAAATTGATTGTGGGAATTTGACTTGATTCTCATTGATGATTTACAACGTTAATATACAGGTACAAGGGAGAGTTCTTAGCAACAAAAAGTTGCCCTGTATCTCCAGTAACTCACGTTCAACAAAAGAAGGAAAGAAAAGAAAAGAATAAAATAAAAATGCATTTTATTTTGTTTCTCTAATATAAACCGTTTGAAAGTACATACCCTTGTTAAGATGAATGTCTGTCGGATGCCACGAGGCACATCATTTTTGCCATATGAAATATAAAGATAGCAGTTGTGTTGTCATTTTCTGCTTTCAGCGTTGTTGTTGAATTGATCAATTGGCAAGCATTCCATAACTGAACCCTTTTTGAACTTTTCTCAGGTGATCCTTTATTTATGGATATAGCTATGCGTTGTGGTTCTGGTTGACCCTCTCTGTCAGACGATTAGTAATTGGGGGTTTATTTGTTATTTGACGTTTTATATTATGTCGGCTATTTCGGGAACTATTGGGGTTAAATCGGTTATGTTAAGTCTTTGGGTAGCTATAGGGAATTAGTTGGTTTATATATATTTTGTGTTAGGCCTAAGTTAGGGTTAAGCAATAACAACAGAATTATTCCCTAAAGCTCTCTCTCTCCCTCTCTCTCATTGTCGAACCCCCCTCTTTCCTCTCCAACCCGTCGGCCACCACCCCCGGTGACCGGATTCCTCTTCTCTCAACCCTAATCCCCAAATTCTACCTCACCCAAATCCCTAATTCTCGTACTAATCACGATCCTCAATCGCACACCTAGATCCGTGCTCTTTCAGTGGTATCAGAGCCTGGCTGGTGTGCCGATTCTCTGAAGAAATACTGCAGTCTGAAGATGTCAAACCCTGCGGACAAGCAACAACTGCCGCGCCAGCTCAAGGAGGTGGTGACAATCAAGGATGTGACGACGAACAAGTACGATGCGCTGGCAGCATCGTTGGAGAGCTTGACAGAGGTGACTGTGAGGGCAGCCGACGCCTCTAAAGGCTCGATCGGAGCAATCGAAACCATGGGCGACTAGATCAAGGCTTCTATTGAAGAGATGGGCAAGAGTGTGGCTGATAACATCTGCGGAGCCCTGGCGGCGACGATGCAGGAGGTGCTAACCCAAGTTCTGAAGAGCCGGGAGCCGCTGGCAATCCCGGCCATGGGGGCGACGGCCGCAGCAGCCGCGGCGGGCTTGGCGGCTCAGAAGGCCAGCGGCGCGAGGGTCGCACGCCAGGAGGAGCAGCCGCGCGACGGCGCGGGCTCTGGTCGGACCGGGGCGGTGGCGCGCCGGGAGGAGGAATCCACCGAGGGGAAGCCGCCGGCCGGCGACGACGAGGCGGGGGCGACGCGTGCCTTGGCCGCGGCGGGCGGAACGCTGGGTAGCTCGGCCGCGCAGCGCAGCCGAGCCGGGGAGCCGGGAACTTTGGGCGCGAGGAGCGCACCCGCGCCTGCATTCAGCAGGTCTGGGTTGCTACCGACGCCGACGGATCCGGCCCATGACAAGGCCCGTGGGAAGCAGAAGATGACGGGGTACGAAGGTGAGCCGTGGCCGACTGGGCCCAACGGAGAAGAACCCTGGCCGGTTGGGCCCGGGGAGGAGGAGGAGCTGAGTTTCGGTGACCCACAGGGCTGGGTGGACCCAAGCCCAGAAGAGGCCAGATGGGGCGGGATGGTGGACCCGCAGGCGGGCCGAACCGTGCCGGGTAATGGGCGGCCAACCGAACCGGACTGGGTAGAACTGGACTGAACCAGACCGGTTGGGTCAACCACCGGCGAGCAGTCGCTGGAGCGGGCCGGGCAGGGGTCTCGGCAGAGGCTAGGAGTACGGGTACCCTCCGTGGAGTACACCGCGAGCTGCGGGAGGTCGAGGTCGAGGCTGTCGGGATATTGGGCAAGGGTCGGGGACCAAGCCCGAGTATGGCGGGTACCAGCAGGAGGTGACGAGCGACTGGCCCTATCCTCCCCAGCAGCTAGCCACGAGCAACTACTATCAACAGGGCCCGATGAACCAACCGCCTCCACCGAACACAGGCAGGTATGAATACAGTAACCCTCTGTATGAGACTGAAGAGGAATTATTGTTCAGAGCTAAATCGCCAGTGATAGAGTTTCCCAAGTTCGATGGTTCGGGAGATGTGGGTTTGTGGTTGTATGCAGCTGAGAGATGGTTCAGAAACCACCCGATCCGAGAAGAGCGGAAGGCGCACCTGGCATCCTTCTATCTTGAGGGAGATGCGCTCCAGTGGTGGGAATGGACCGAGAGGGCCTATGCAGAGGCGGGTGAGTTCATCTCGTGGCCCAGGTTCCAGGATGAGCTACGCTACCAGTTTGGCAAGGCGGAGGGGTGGGCCCCGGAACAGCTGGCCAAGCTCAGGCAGACAGGGTCGGTGGCCGAGTACCGCGCGGAGTTCCTTAAACTGGAAAACCAGTGCAAGGAAATGCCGGAGGAAACTCTGGTGGGATTGTGTATGGCGGGACTCCGCCCGGAGTTGGCAACCGCCGTTAAGGTTTTCGAACCTGACTCTCTTCGAGGTGCTTTCAGGATTGCAGGGCGCAAGGAAGAGGAGCTGGCTAGTTGGAGGACGTCGGCTGGGCATATGCAGAAGGCCAGTGGAGGAGTGGGAGCAGGAGCTGGTACCTCACCGCCGTCGGGAAATGCAAGCCCGGCGGCCACCGGAGCAGCATCGGCGAGCAGATTCCAGTCAAGGCTGCAACCAAAGGGGTTTGTCCGACTGACTCAGGCGGAAATGGACTAGAAGCGCAGAGACGGTCGTTGCTTCAACTGCGACAAAAGGTATACAGTGGGGCATCAATGCGCCAAGGGTCATCTCATGCTGCTGATGGGGAACTGGGAAGATGAAGGAGAGGAAATGGAGGCACGAGAAGCGGAAGAGAAGAAAGAAGGTCCACCTTGAGAGCAAGGTGGGTTTCAAGGGGGATGGAATGTCAGACGATTAGTAATTGGGGGTTTATTTGTTATTTGACGTTTTATATTATGTCGGCTATTTCGGGAACTATTGGGGTTAAATCGGTTAGGTTAAGTCTTTGGGTAGCTATAGAGAATTAGTCGGTTTATATATATTATGTGTTAGGCTTAAGTTAGGGTTAAGCAATAACAACAGAATTATTCCCTAAAGCTCTCTCTCCCTCTCTCATTGCCGAACCCCCCTCTTTCCTCTCCAACCCGTCGGCCACCACCCCCGGTGACCGGATTCCTCTTCTCTCAACCCTAATCCCCAAATTCTACCTCACCCAAATCCCTAATTCTCGTACTAATCACGATCCTCAATCGCAAACCTAGATCCGTGCTCTTTCACTCTCACAATGTTGCAGGCACAATTCAGTCATCAAGCTGCATTCCAAAATTTGGACGAAAATGCTGGAAGCATGCAGAAGGATAAAATAGGGAAGAATATTTCTAGAAAGGAGAAGACTACCTTTCTTATTAACACAGTAAGCATTCCAAGAGTTGAAAAGTGCTAGACGTAGAATATGCTAGCGTTTGTCTAGATTTAGAACAAAAAGAAAATTTCTAGATGTAGCATATGATTACTTAGGTCTTTCTGACTTAGAAAAATGGCCCAGCATGTCTGGTATTTCGATGGTAAGGTTCCAATGCTGTATGTAGTTAGACAGCTGACTTACAGTACCTATGATCCATTTCCCAGTTTCAAGATAACGAATTTGCTTCACCTTCTGGGTAGCTTAGCTTAGAAGAAGAACAAAAACTAACCCTTGTGAGCTTTACTTCTTGCCTTGCATCATGATCCTATGTCTTGGAGCTAGTAGTAGCGGATGTATGAATAAAATGAAAAGGAAATCGGAGTTAGTAGAACCATCAGCAGCGGTAGAGCCTAATATGTAGATAAGACATTATCTATACTATATTCACCATAATCCAAAGAAACTAGCTTCTTACAGTGTGTTGCTTCAAACATATATTTTGAGATAACTGTACTTTATTATCCCTTATAATCCTTTCACTTACTTTCGTTTGTTGGCTCATGTTGTTACTTTAGCAGAAGGAAAGAGTATTCTACGAGCTCTTATGGGCAAGTTAATAAATTTCATATATGCAGCTCATGGATCTCAAGGATAACAAAGAAGGTATTTATGGTGCTCCGGATGCTTGGGTTGCATGGGAGCGGGAATTTCCTATTGGTCCTCTTTTTGCTGGCTCTTGAGAAGGAACAGCAGTGGCATCGGATTATTCAGGTGCAAACCACTTTTCCTTTCTGTTACAGAATCAAATTACATGTTAAATCATTTGTAGAACAGCTCTTGCATGTACATAATTTGTGTGTATGTCCATTTTCATTAGGAAGCAAAATTTAAGTATTAATTTGTCTTCCCTAATCATCCTGCCTCTTTATATGTTTCTTGAGTTTACACTCTGTAGGTTAAGCTTTAAAAAGCAAAAATTCTAATCATTCTGATAGTACTCAATTTGTTGGATTTGTTTTATGCATTTCCTGATTCCGTGTTAATATTTCTCTAGGTGATTAAATGGATGTTGAGCAAGGCTCAGGGAAACACAATGGGAACGTACGGGCAACTAATACGTGCATTGGATAAAGACTGCCGAGCAGAGGAAGCACATACTGCTTGGCTGAAGAAAGTTGGTACAGATCTTCATTCCGTGCCTTGGAAGTTATGCAGCATGATGATATCGGTATACTACAGAAACAACATGCTAGATAGGCCTGGCTTGTTAAGGTAAAGCTAATGTGTTCGTATTTTTGTTGATCAAGTATGAGCCTGTTTGAGCTACTACATTTCATATCCATCTCACCATATGTAGTTCACTGCTTGCAATCAACTCACTCAATCCAAGACTAATGATTTCATGACTTTGCATTCTTAAAGCTTTTCAAGGACATGGAAGCATTTGATCGGAAACTCCATGACAAGGTTATAGTCCAGAGAGTAGCAAATGCACAGGAGATACTAGGTATGCCAGGAGAGAAAGAACGAGTACTTCAAAAGTACGCTGGTGTTTTATCTGAGACCAAGAAGAAGAAACGGTTTCGGAAGAGACCTGAACAGTCTGCTACTGAGGGGAAGCAATAAGGTGAAATTGTTCTCCTTTAGTTTTTGCTTAACACTGATTGAATTCAATACAAAATTACCAGGAGAGTATTATATTCGTCGATAGATTGTTTGACGAAAACTTTAGACAATAAATTAGGGCTTTAGAAGCAATTGTTACGCCGTGGCATTAATCTGGCCTCGCTCTGGCAATGTCACTTGAGCTCAATACAAGCCCCAACTCGACAACTTCCATCTTTCATTGACAAGACCAGAATCGAAGGTTCAACCAGAACTATCAAGTATTTCGGCAAACGCTCAACAAAAATCACATTATCTGTATACTCTGCTGCAAGAAAGAGGAACGGGCCTGACGACGAGACAAATTGGTGCATCTAGAAAAGCAAAAGGGACAGGAAGAAGAAATAACATGTGAAAGGTTGAAGGAATTGGGAAGGAAGCTCTCGCTGCAATCTTATTACTCTACCAGACTCATTCTTCCCTGTTCTGCTGTAAATATATCTACCTAGAATAATGATAAGATTCCAACCCCAGTATACTCCATGGTCTTTAATATCCAAAAAAATTAGCTCAAAGCTAGCCGGCACACGAACAAAAAAACCCCGGCAGAGCTTCTTTTTTAGGAGGACATTTTCATTTGGATCTGCCGATGGATATGAACCAGGAACTCCACGTACGAGAGACCGCCGGTTGGTACTTTGTCTTCAATCAGGTACGAGAAGAATGCCATTCCTGCATTGAGGTACAAAAAAGGGTTTAGTCGTATAATCAGTATGTGACCAATCCTGGATTGAGGAAAGAAGGCAAGGTGCTTAAATTCAGTAACTCACCTGATTGTTCTCCCTTTCTACACAACCTCAACCTGCAAGAATATCGCGACAAAATTATTAACAGAAAGCAAATTATTAACTCGGTTCAACAAAAAAGAAATCAACTATAAATACCTGAGGAATGAACATCTCTGTCTGCGTATCTCATTTATCACCTCGTTTAACTTCTTTGACAATGGATTATCATATTGCTGCAAGTTGAACTCAGCACCCCCCTGTTCAATCCCCAGAAATGTATAACCATTTAAGACACAACTTACAGAAATCTAAACATCAAAGAGGTACAGACATAAGGGTGTGTAACGATCCACACCTTACTTGAACCGACCGCTTGGATCAAACAATTTGATTCTGTTTTGACTCTCAGATTAAAAAATTATTCACTTCGACTCTATGAATCCTCTTAAAACCATAGAAAAGGCGAATTGAACCGCAACAAGACTGCACGGAATTGGGTGGAATGCATTTTTTATCCGATTGTCTGATTTTGGACCGGAGCGAATCGGTCTCCAATTTACAAATGTATGAAGTTCCAACTCCAGACTAACAATGCCAGACAAAAATTACTGCAATGGAAATTAAGATAACCTGATCAGCCGAGGGAACTCCAAGCGATTGCTGCAAGATGTCAGGGTTGACCGAGTTCCCAACATATATCAAGCAATCTTGACCATTCTCCAGAAGATAAATTCCTTCATCACTGACATGTTCACTAGATAGTGGAAGTGGAGCAGGAACAATTGAACCATTCACTTCCTGTCAACAATAAAAGAGTAAATTTTGAAATTTGAACAGATATTATACAGGGGCACCAAGGGTGGATTATATTAATGACAGCATGCCTGTGTATCCAGGTCATGAACAGCAATCATCCTTGGGTAAACCAGTGGAATTGCCGACGGAGTAGAAACTGAGGATACATAATTGATCCAGAAAGAGCGATCATCTATCTTCCCTTCAATCCTTAGTCCAGCACTCTTGATTAAGGCTGTAAAATAGGAGCAACAAACGAAGTCGTAAGACACTACAGGTGTTGAAACAAGCAAAATGTGTGTGCTCTACATGACTTCTTTTTATTGTTTTCAAAAGGTTTCAGAAAAGTGGAAGTATCTTCTTTTATTCATTATAACTTTATTTATGAATAGTATTTTGCCTTTGATTAATCAGTACAATGGATCTGGTTGGCTTCCTAGGATGCATTCATAGATGCAACGGGAAGGGTTGGAATCGGTTTCAGTTTTGGTTAAGCAACACCAAGGAAAACAAGAATTCAGTGAAAGCAAAAAAATTAACCAAATTATGCAAAAGCGTCGCTAAAAATAAAAGAGTCAAGTAAATTTGATTATGTTTCAACAAAATGATTTAGTAAGTTCCAGCCGATTCGACCAATGAGTGAAAGAAAGGCCCTTTCAGCTTCGATAAATTTCATTTTTGTTAACAAGAAAAAGTGGAATTTAACGAAATATAATACCAACTCATTCATAATATATAATGCGGAGTTTGTTTCTTATTTTTGTTCAGCCAAGGAACCATTTTCCCACCCTTAGATTTGGTTCAGAGCGCTGCGCACATGATAAAAAACCATGACAACGAAGGAACAGGTCTGAATTTTTAACACATAATAGAGCCATAGAGCATCAGAGACTAGGTACACACGTCAAGTACAATGGACACATGCGGTATGGATACAGTAATGAGACCTAAATGTGGAGAAAAATACCAAGAGTATATAGAGGCAGCAGTTTGAGTGCTTCTGGAAGAATAAGTTGCCCTGAGGATGACACTGTCGCACAAAATTTCCGATATGAAAGTAGAATGTTTATACAGAAGTTTGTAACTTGTTCACGGACGTGCAAGGGTGGGGTGATGGGAATTTCACGTGCAGCTGTCAAAATAAGGTGAAGAGTAAGATCAATTTTGCACAGTGATTGAGACAGTTAATACTAATGCAAAGATGCAGTACATTATTAGTTTCAGACATTAGACTGCTAACAAAATCCACCTTAGAAGATGCTAATGAAAATGAAAAATGAGATGGACAACAGGGGATCTGAAAGGAACAGAAGAATGATAACTGAGGTATGCTTGAAATACCTTGCTTCAGGAAACATACAAATTGAGTATCTAAGTCAGCCATCCGGAACAAGTTACTCAAGTTGCTTGTGCACGGCAGGGATAGCGTAGTAACACGAATTCTTCTCTCACCATAAACAGTAGTGTATAGAAGTGCACACTGCATCATGAATTAAGAAAGTGAACCTCAATGATATCAAAGCCAAAACCTTATAATTAAGCAGTATAGTCATTCAAGCAGTCGGGGAAAAAGCAACTATAGGTTATTTGGTCAGATGATTAGGTCAATAGATTAATATTAAGCCATTCAACATAAACCTTTGATTATTTGAACATAGATGTTTTGGGCTTTATGTAATTGCCACAACTAGATATACATACATCTAATGAAAAAAGAAGCTTAGAGGAACAGAAAGTATAATGCACGATGGATAATTAAGAAACATATTTCAAGAAAGATGAAGACATGAGCACACCTGGAAAGCACATTCTGCGCCATCCTGCAACTTGTCATCGTGTTTTAAAGTCACCATTATAGCTTTATCACAATCAATCTGCAAATGACAGAAATTACTTCTAGGTTAGAAAAGTCAGGAAGAACCCAAACAAATATTTTTACCCCCATTAGAATAGTACAATGGAGAATGTAAAGCACATTCCCAATCATGTCTCTATAAAGTTTTTTTCCTGGAAGCCTAAACACCCTTGTTAAATATATCAGAAAACAGGTGACTAAAACCGCCGGAATTTTAGACATCATCTCCATAGGACATCAAGGGATCTCAACCGTCAGATTTTAAGATGACACTTAATATTTTAGGTCCAGCAAGGAGCTTGAATTGGTACTTTCAAAAGAAAATAATCTACATAAACTGCAATTATAGGCATTGAAATTTAGGTCCAACAAACATCTAGGCAGTGGTCAAATTTCAGTATGTAACAAAGCATCTCATGGGAAGCTATTCTAACCCCAGGTAGGTCAACATCAGTAGGAATCCGCTTGCAGAAGTTTCCATGGTATTCTTGAACTTGAATTCCCTATAACAAAAAGATCAAGAAAATAAAATCAGCCCACAAGCATCGTACTAATTTGGATAACAGTAAATTGATTCCAAATAGCGTGAGTTCCAAAAGAGTTACCTGGCTGCACCTCACTCGCATAACTGCTTCAAATCCTTGAGGCCTTGAGACGTTCCATCTAAGATCATTATAAAGCTTTACGGAATCTGAAACTACTGAAAATGGATGATAATAATAAACCTGCAATAAAGCAGTTATGAGTCAAACCTTGAAATCATATGGCTAATTATAGATCCGCACCGGTCCAACTACCACATTGTTCAGAAAGTACATATTTAAGATTGGGTGATCTAAATAAAATGACCGAAACCAGGACTTGCTAACATTGTCATCCAACTAAAATAAGTAAATAAGATGTGTTCTTGGTGACATCAAATATGTCATGGTCAACCTTTCCCATGCCAAAAAAGTACACAAAGAGTGACATGCTAATATAAAGTGAATAACACAAATAAGATGCAAACACCAGTAGACTGCAGACAAAAGTAGCTTCCTAGTATCTTAGTATGATGGATATCAACAATACAGCATTGCCAAGAAAACCAAATATATCTTGCACGCAGTAATATTATCCTGAAAGTACCTGCCCTCCAGTAACTTTCGGGATGACAGAGATAGAAGCAATGTCGACGTATGTCTTGGTGGTGATGAACACATCAACACAAACCTGTAGAAAATAGGAAAAGGCAAAAGGCAAAAGAAGGAACTTAATAACCAAGGTTTGTGATTAAATATTAGGCAAACTATAGAAATCTTCATTTTTCATCCAGATGGCGAGACGGGAAAACAATATGCGACCTGATATTCTGCAAATTCAACTGCCATGTCCTTTAGAGTTTTGTCAGCAGGCTGGAGTAATTTATGAGCCTCCTGCACAAGCTTTCCACTTATAAAACAATTTTCCATCCAATGCCATCCAGGAAAGAGTAAAGATCACAATACAAAGTTATAATGATGGACATTAGATAAAATACACTAGATTCTCAAACAGTGACAAAAGCTAGTCAATAATTTTGCACACGAAATTCTTCCAAATCATGAAGGCCCTTTCCTGGTCTTGAAGCGAGTTGGGATGGTTGCATAATTTTGTGCATTGAGATGCAACATCTCCTTAGCTACTGCTTTTTCAAGCAGTAAAAGCAAAACAAGGAAAGGTTGAATTGTTAGTTGTTACCTTGTCCCCAGCAGAGATATTGCTTCTTCCCTCAGCCTCTCTTGCAGCAAGTGCTCCTATTCCAATGGATGGCAAAACTGATGACATAATAAATTGATCAGGGAAGGCATTCTCATAGGAACAAATGACTACTTTAAAGACCATATAAATGCAACTTAAAATGCTGAAAACAGAAGTGAAAGAACTATCATGAATATTCAGACAAATTCGTTTGAGAATAAATGCTACAAGAACTTGATCTGACAGCCAGTGAAGGAGGTGGCAACATTAGAAACCAGCATAATGCTTAAGTTAAAGGATTTATGGCCAACTCCAGTATCTGAGCATGGGGCAACCAGCATACTGCTTAAGTTAAAGGATTTATGGCAAACTCCAGTATCTGAGCACTGGGCACCAGCTCTTTACAGAACAATTTTCTCTATGTTTTCAAAACCATCCAGTAATTCTTAAGCATTACTGCCCAATATGCATTGTTAGCTCCAAAGATAAAATAGTCAGCATCATACAAGTTGACCATGCAAGAACTTCAAATTTCCATATAAATAAAGCAGAGAGCACCTTTCCCACCCGTCTGGGATCCATATATATATATAGAGAGAGACAGATAGGTCAGATTGCTACACTCTTGGAGTAACGTAAACTCCGGGTACTCATTTTTGTGAGTGCACCGAATAAGCCACCATACATATATATGGTTTTGTCTTCGGTGTACTCACTTTTTTGGTACATTCAATGCTCTCGCCTCATGATGTCATTTTGAATAGACAATTCATGTCAAAAATCAAAATGACATCAATCATCACCTGTGATGTGATGGACAATAAGACACATGAATTTGCAAAAAATCATTCAAAATATACTTTGATTTGAATATTTTAGAGTTTATGATTTAAAATTTGGGGTTACGGTTCAAAATTGAAGGTTTAGGACTTAGGGTAATGGATTGATTAGTTGTATAAGTGACATTTTCCAATCCAATCCAATACATCAACGTAAATATCCAACTAATTCAATCCATTTAAATTCAATCAGTTTGATCCACATCCAATTGGATTGATGGATTCATGAATTGTTAACAAATTACACTTTAGTACTTGTACTTTTTTTATTTTACAATTTGGTAACTAAAAATTTATTTTTATATCGAAAAATATCATTGAAAAATTATATTTTAGTACCTAGATTTTTTATTAAGACACATAAGTACCTAAATGTTTAAAAATTTACATATTGATCCAACGTTTAGATGTCACTTGGATTCATAATCCAATCCATTAGATCCAAGGATCCACCAATCCATTTGATCCAATCATGGATTCACCAATCCAATCCACTAATCCATGGATCAGTCCATTTGTCACCCTTAATTAGTTGTAATCCTATGTTATATCATCATATTATACGAATAGTATCAATTAAATCCATAATTTGATGTATTAAACTACTTTTAGAGTTGAGTGCGTTTAGTGCACTCATTTTTGTGAGTGCACCAAAGAAACCACTATATATATGCTTGTGTTCGCACTAGTGTATGCCCGTGGAATTATACTATTTAGACCACAAATTAACTAGACTTTGAGACATGATAATGGACCCCAAGTGAACCTCAGTCCCCCCAATTTTCTAACTCGAACCATAAATTTCATCTAATCTAGTAAACGTTGATTCTGATTCATCAAAATATCAAAGTGCATGTAACAAATCATATATATAGCGTACATCAGGCGTACACTAGCCTTTGCAATATATATTAATTTTTTCTTGTTAAGATCCTATAAATCGATAAAACCCGGCCAGTTGGCCAGGGCAATCTTTTTTATCGTTTACATTGCATATTCATATATTTAATCATATATCTAAATTAATTGGGTCTCATCATAAATATATTATTTTATGGGCAAGGATTTTGTACTCTATCTGTTTCCTTATTTTATTGTTATTAAGCCCCTAGAAAAATGTCTTTTTGTATTTTGTGTGTACGTGATTTAGGTTTATGAGTGTTCGATGTATTATACACTAATTTCTCACTACTCAATCAATAAGTTTAGTCATTATATGAAGCAATGCTTATTATCCATTGGGCTAAAACATCATGAAATTTAGTTAGGAAGATGTATTATCACCTAATAAATTTTATTAAGTTTGATCCAAGATAGGGTGTAGTGTCGTATTACTACTTAGAGCTTTTGTCCTTGCTAATAATGTATGTTCTTAAGCAAATATTTGTAACAGATAAAACAATTACAATACACCATAAATTTTAAGTGCATATGAAATGTCGTATGACTTCAAAATTAAATGTATACCATTAAAAAAGTAACATATGTTGTGTAAACTTAGATATAATTTTTGAAATGAAATTTTTTGTACAGAAGCCTAAAAGTTTTTGTACGCCTGCACTTATAAATGAACATTAAAGTCTAATGCTACTAAATACTTAAATTAATTTATTAATATTTTGAACTTATTTGATTCGATGACTAAATTATAATTTTGAATCAGTGGAAAAAATCACCAAGACTCAAACTTCCCACTAAAACTTTTTGTATACTTGATAACGCAACATATTAAAAATTACATCATAATTATGGGGAATATTATTTGGTCAGGAAAAATAAAAAAGTTAATGTTAATTATGGACTAAATGGTTTACACTAATAATTCATTAAAAAAATTGTACTTGATAATTATTGGGAACGGAAAAAACAAAAAAAAAACATATAAATTTACATTAACCAAAGACGGAGAAAAGAAAGAGAAAAAAACTACCAAAAACTTAAAGTGAAGAAAAAATCCCCGAAAGTTGCGGGGAGAAGTTCACCGAGAAAGTGCTTTATAGTATTTAGAGAAGAAGAAGATAAAACCCATAGATACTAGAACCACGATGATACAGCAAAACCTATAAAATATTAGTCCAAAGATTCCCCCGAGTAAGAATCATTATATCATCACTTATTCAATGAATAATGACTAAAAATAAAAAGAAAAGCGTGCCTTTTAGAAGGGTGAAAATGTAGGCTTATAAAACTTGCCTGATTGAAATACCATAAGCTTTCCTCCAGTACTCTTCATTGCTAAAAAGGCTGCCTGAAAGAAATATAATATAATTATTGAGAAGATAATCGAGTATAAGAGGATGCCATTCAAAGTCCAACGACAAGATACATAATATCAACCAAAACCCATCGAAGAATACAGGTCTACCACCCTGCCAGCTATTCATTCCTAAAATTCTATGATTAGTATGCCCCCGCCTGCAATCACTAGTTGCTATACTTTACCATTCTACCAATTACCAACTAACTGACAGCAAACTCTGAACATTATCAGGATGGTCACTTTACAAATGCATGACAAAGGCTATTACCATGGTATTTCTAACCAACAAAGTCAAATATATTCATTTAAATAATGAAATCAAGGATTATGCTTGCTGAATTTTTCAGGCACAAAGAAGCCACATAATACTAGCTCTAAACAAAATGACGTACCTTGATTGCTGCACCAAAAGCTGACTCAGATGTTCTAGTATTCTCAAACATGGTTGGAATACTTTCCAATAACAGTTCCAAATGTTGACGGCACTAAATCCAAAAGAAAGATAAAAGAAATTAATTACAATAGGGGATTCGCCATATACAGCCACAAGTAGTAGTATGTAATTCCTAAAGATTTCCTGTAAATAAGTTTTAGGCTGATTATGCCATAAGGCCAAACTATCCCCAAACTTACCTCAGAGACTGGGACAATGACATCGGTTTGCAAAGGGGTATACACATCTTGTACATCAGGAACGATCAGCATTTGCGGCTACAGAAGATTGTGAGGATCACGTCAGACTCAATACCATTGTATATTTAACATGTAGCGTACTAAAATCCTTGAAAGTTGAGCCAAATGCAAAATTTTCTAGAATCAAAATGCACCAGCAACTCACACGAGTAGGATGGGGTGAGAAATATAAATCATTAACCATAAAGAGAGAGGGTTCAGATGTTCCAAATGATAGGTCGACCCTCAAGCAGAGAGCAACAGTATCTAAGGAAGACAACTATAAAGGACCAATCAGCATTCACTAGTCCCCTGTACATCCTCAAATTTATCACAATTCCTCAAATGGATCAACCTGCTGTAACACCCGTTTCAAGTTGTAGAAGTGGATGGTTGAATCAAAAGTTGCAATCCCAACCATTGTCCTTGGCCCTTCCTGAAAGAGGAAGTCATTCATTAAGCAGAATAGCATTGTCAAAAAAATCTGTGCATGCCAAGAGGTACGACTAAGTGTTTCTCAGACCAGAATATAGGCATCAACATTTAAGTGAGCATGGATTCACAGTAAGAAGTCATCAAGCATCTTGTACCAGAGAAATAGTAAGATGACAAAACCAAATCCTGAAACTGGATAAAGCACTCACCGGAAGATCAGCAATCACTTGGTTAATTGAGCTGCAAGCTGCTGCAGTTGCACCAGTTTGAATGGCATTCATTGACACATCAATAAGGAAGAAATAAACAGCTGGCATTGGTTCTCGCACCTGAAAAAAATGTAAACAGAGCTATCAATCATGCACAGGAACCAGTAAAAAGGAAAAATACAACGTACAAGTTAATTCTTAAACATACAACTTCTAAATAAAAAAGAGACCTAGAACCAGAAGAAATAAGAATTCCTCAAAGGAAGAAACAGACCATGTATTCCTTTGTCGCAACAAATTCAACTGTCCCCCTACACAATTCAGGCCTTTCGTCAGCATCTCTACGCCTACCATCAGGACCTAAATTGCAATGGTAGTCGCGAGGTGTTTCATCAGTGAAACCTGTCATGAAACAGTGAATTTTGGAGTAAGGCACAGCTTGTCAGTAAAATAGAATGTGTCATGCCAATAAGCAGTCAAACACTTCTTTATTCCTATGAAGCATTATTTTACTATGAGATATACATAAAATAGCACAAAAATCAATAGTTTGCGCACAAGAGACCTAACAACTAACCTATCGTCACCAAAATGAACGCAAGCCTATGAATGCAGGAATCACAAAGTGAACAATGCAGATGCCAGACACCCAAAAGGGTCAATAGAAACAAAAGTGGAAGGTAAAGGATATCCTTAGTACTTCTTCTGCTATTTTATCATTAGCAAGTACGTTGCCTGAAAGCATCCAGAAAATAATACATTGAACTTAGAAAAAGGAATAGGTGCATACTGACCGCACAAATTACAGATGAAACGCCTTCCCTGATCAATGAACTTCATGAAAGGGTTTATATAGCCTTTGCAACGAGAACAACGAACAGGACCACCTTCACCAAAATCAACAATCTACGTACAACCAGGAAAAGTCTGAATAAATGAAACTCTAATGACGCACTTGCTTGCAAACAGGAAAATTATTAAGTGCTGAAAAATAGGCAAGCATTAAATTAACACAGCTTTAATTCCCTTTCAGAAATGAAACAGCATCGAGGTGGATATTAGAATTCGAAGTTTAAGGTCACAAGCATTCATCAAGACAAGTATAATCCCACCATCTTTGATCTTGCTAACATCGTCAACAGAATACCAGACGTACTGCATATCAATCATTTCAATTTTGCTCTGGAGACTCAATTTAAATAGCTTCATCCTTGCTTCTCAGCAAGGAAGTTTATTGCACTGAGCAATAAACATAACAAACTTCCCCTGTTTCAGTACAGAAGAAAATTTTCACTCCAGAGGCATCCACTGGACGAATACAAGCACTACCTGGATAGGCTCTTCAGATGGATGGGGAAGGGCTAAAGGTTGGACCAATAAGGCCAACTGCATACCAGATGTCGTCAAAAGATCAGCAGTGCATGGAATCTGCATATTTGAAGCCAGAGAATGCGCAAGTGCTTCGATTACTTCTCTGAAATCAACCTCAAACAATGCACAGAATCTGCAAACATCAAAAGCTTAAAATAACCTGATTGATGGTGCACCTCATGTAGCGCGGACTACAATTGCCAGTGTCACGAACTATGTAATCACTAGTTGCCGGCTTTCAAAGGAGAATACACATTATCAGAACAACCATGGACAGAGGCTGATGTATGTGACTGGACTGAAATAGGACTAAAAAGACAAGGTCATTTATGATTCACTACCGGAGGAGGATTGGCCTGATTTCCCTGACGGGTATCATGCAAGATAACAGAGGAACTTGGGATCGGCCTTGGAATTTGATTGGGATCAATCTTTGACGCCCCTGGCTGTGTACCTCCAGTTTGACCAATAACGGGTGAGATAGCAGTCATTTGATTTTGCATTGGTGGTGGCATTCCATACATTCTAGGTGGTGGCATAGACCCTGGCATTGGAGGGACCCCCTATATACCCATGATAGAAATTTGTGTCAAGATTGAAAAGACATGAATCTACAAATATTTCTGCACCAACAAGTGAAGACAGTCTCGTGGAACTAGAATTACTTGCTAGTAAAAAGGCCAACATCGATCATATATACTCAAGAGGAAACCACACTCCTAGAACATTGGTGGCATCTCATTCTACCAATAGTAACTTCAGGTTCAAACAAAGGCTGGTTGATTGATATGAAATATATCATTTGTTGATGGAGAATAATCCAGCTTTCATCTGCTAACCATTTCACAGAATAGAAGCATAGAAAACATAGCACGTCCATATAATCTTAAACATTATCAAATAGTCTTATCATCAGTCACTAAACCATTAAAAAAAACTACCAGTAGAGTACTTAATAGCACTACTATTGCACAACAATATATGCTTAAATACTCACTGGTTGTGAAGACATCTGTGGTGCATAAGGAGAAACTACAGATCCTGACATCGCTTGAGGTGGTCCCCCAAAAGTAGGCGCAACTTGATTCATCCCCGACAGTGGAGGTACCTGCGAAGCACCAGCTCCAGGACTCCCCATGAAAGGATGCATAGCCCCTGCTTGAGGAGGGGCACGACCTGGTGGCCCCATAGCTGGAGGAGCACCCATAGGAGCTTGTTGCTGAGAACTACCAGGTGGAGCAAACCGTTGCCCACCCTGGAAAGTCGGTGCAGGTGGCCCATTACTGATAAAGCCACTTGGTGCACCAGAAGGCATCATGTTCACAGGAGATGGACGAGCACCAGGCGGCGGTGCTCCATAAGGAGGAGACCCAGCAGAGGGAGGCATAGAAGAAGGGAATGCCCCAGGAGGAGGAGGTCTGGAACCAAATGGAGGAGGCTGGCCAAATGGTGCGCCGCTCGGTCTACCAGGGGCCATATTTGGTGGCAACGTGGGTGTTGGAGGTCCCGAGGCCGGTCTAGGAACTGCACCGGGAGGGAACGGGCCCGGTCTCTGTGATGCAGGGGCAGAGGATGAGAACGGTGGTGGCTGACCGAATGGCGGTTGCCTGGTATTTGAACTGGGGGGGCGATTAAGGTTCATATTCTGAAAATTGTCAGCTAAGGCATTCGGATTCTGCTGAAAATTCGGTGGTGGCCCAGTAGGCGGTTGTTGTCTAGGTGCCCCTGGAGGCACAGGAGCTGCCATGTTTTCTTACTGATCAATCAATCTAAACCTTCCAGATAGAACACCAAGAATTCCCCCTTCCCTGCCACCCCCCAACAACCAAATGGAGCTATATCAATTCTCCCGCAATATCGAATCCGAATCTTCAAAACCAAAATTCGACACATCGAGAGAAGAATTCAAAAACCAGAACGAAAGGAAGAAAAAACGATCAAAACACCAAAGAATTCCAATTCAACTAAAAATTCGCAGAAACACAAACGTAACGCAAGCAAAGCAATCGGATTCCGAATTCAACGGAAAACGAAAGAAGATGAAACGTGCAAAACGCAAGGTAGGTGATGGTACCGGAGGGGATCAAAGACGAGTGGATCTAGTCGGCGAGATGAATTGCGTCAATAGACGAGATCAGAGGATCTGAAGGGAGTCCGGTTAGGGTTTTGCATGGGGAGGAAGGCGGCGAGAAATGTTAGGGTTTTGGAGATCGGAGAGGAGATCAAGTTGGGGATCGGAGTCCGGAGAAATACGCGGATAGGGAGAATGAGAGTGAAGAAGAGAAGAGCGGGTGTTTTGATGAGAAACGGGGAAGACTTGGCTGAGACAGAGCCCCTGTGACAGGGAGAGAGCTGTAAAAAAAATTTGCTGCTAGTTTATTTTATTTATTTGATGAAGTTTGGCCGGATTACTTTAAGTGATCGAATTGTAGAGCGCAGTCAAAGCAGGAGTAAGAGCGAGGGAACATATATTCCAAATAATTGTATATTTAAAATGTAAATTGAGCATTAATATTATGTTGTTTTAATATAAAAATTATTAAATAAATTATCAAATTTTAGAGAAAATATTACAACACCTTTGAATTTTTTAATTATATTTATATACCCAGACCTAGAAGGAAATAAAAAAAATTAATATCCCATTCAAATTATTTTATACCAATTTGATGCACAAATTACCTAAATTTGATTAAATTTCATTTATAGAAGAAAAAATAAATGCACTCATATCTTTAACGATGGTAAATGGGTTGTGACAGTTATAGCCACGACTTTCATGTTTGTGACAATTATAGCCCACAACTTTCACAAATGTGAAAGTTGTGAACTATTAGGAATGGCAGTAGAACTCGAATCCATGGGTACTCTATCCGACCCAACCCGGTCAACGTGGGTAAAACTCGCTTTGACAGATTGCGGACCGGGTTCGGCTTTAAACCCGCTATACTCTTTGCGGGTTGGGCTGGGTTTGGGTTTAGCCATATCCAATCCGTGGATACCCACACCCAAGTCCATACCACCACGCCCCACATAACCATTAACTAATTAACTATAATTTCTAAACTAATTTCTCACACGTTCAATTAATCATATTGTTTGTGGATGTTTATCTTTAATATTGAACAATTACTATGAATGATTTGTGCGTTAGCGTGTATGTAGTAGACAATAGTAGTGAAAACTAGTGTAATTGTATCTTTGTACATTAACCCATGAACCCGCGGATACCCAACGGGTTGGGTTTGAGTTTTCCAAATCCAGTGGGTTTTACCCCAAGGTTTTTTTGGTGGATAAACCCATGAGTTTGGCATAACTCGCCACAACTCGACCCATTGCCATCCCTAGTGGCTATGGAAGTGTGTTTTGGCAAGTGAGGCTGAGTTGTCGTTGATGTGTGCGCGTCAATTTGGCATCCTAGCCAGCGTGGCATTAACCTAACTAACGGAATCTCTAACACGGTTAAAGTTTGTAACAATAATGGCTAGATTTGTCAAACAACTATCAGAATTCTGGATATTTCGTGTATTTCAAAAGTTGTAGCTATATCTGTCACAAACGTGAAAGTTATGGCTATGGAAGTATATTTTGCCTTAACGTCACTAATAGTAAGTAACTTCTAAATTTCATGTAAAATATTTCAAACATGACCAATATTGTGGTAAAACTAATTACTATAAATGATAAAACAAAACTCATTCAACCAATCGAGTGAATCAAAAGTTAGTTCATGCCTTAAATTGCTTTATATACCTAACTAATCAAAATGAATAATCAGGTTCATCTTTGTTCATTTACATGTTCTTATTTAATCATGTCGGATTAGCAAGAGGTTTAAGATTTAGTGGTTAACCGAGATAAAACGCTTAGAAAACCAATCACATATAGTTTGCATAAAGATATCATTGCTTTATAATAGTTATAAAAATGAATACAAATTTAAGAAATCTACATCGCTTCTAGATAATAAATACTAGCAATATTCTAAATCAATGATAATCTAGGCAGATTAAGTATTAACCTCTAATTAAATTAATTAAAATATTAAATCAAAATATCAAACACTCAATAATACTTTCTGGAGACTTAGTGAGCTAGCAAATCATGGTGAAAAAGTCCTTCAATTTTCAGATATTAGCTTTGTGTGTGTTTTTAATTTAGAAAGATACACTAGATTTGTTTGGTGCAATTGGTTTTGATTCTTATCTTTGTCTGAAGAGACCTTGGTTCAAATTCCAAATTTATAATTTTTTTCTAAAAAGAAGAAATTAATAATTTAATCGAAAGTACGGGTGAGGTAAGTAGTGAGAGAAACGTAGTGAGAGGTGAGTGATTCCAGTGAGCGAGGTTTTTCCGATCCCAAGCTCGCTGCCAGCTCCGGCATCTGCGCTGGAGCAGCTCTCTTCCTCTTCTTTTGCTTTTCTTATGAGTGAGGTGAGTGAAGCGATTTCCAATTCAGCTTCGGGGGTGCCAAATGGTGACAATCGGGGGATTCCAACGAAACCCTGGGCAGCACTGTTTGGCATCTCTGAGGCCAATCGCTTGACGTATATACCACCAGAGGTTGTTATTGGCGGATTGCGAATGTCCAGAGCTGTGCGAGACGCGGGAGCGGCGCGATGGAGAAATAGCCTTGTCGGGCAATTTCTTCAAGATCCACCCCCCGCTATATGTGCTTCGTCGTTGGGCAAACAAACTCTGGGGCCGCGATGGCCAGGTGCGGGTCTCATTGCTCTATGATCGGATGTTACTGATACAGTTGCCAAATCAGAAGGTATGTGAATAGATTCTGGAGAATGGCCCGTGGTTTCATTTCAATAATCTGCTTTATCTTTGGCCATGGACTCCGGGAATCAGTTTTGAAGATTTAGGGAGAAAGGCTCTGCCGATCTGGGTGCACCTTGCTAATGTCCCTTTGGAATACAATGATTATCAAAAGGTTTAAGTCGTATTACTAGCTGGATTGGGGTACCACTGGGTGTTGATCATACTACAAGGATGGGGGATAGACATGGGTTTGCCAAAGTACTGGTGGAGCTCACATTTGATAGTGAATGTCCTGATCATGTGTTGCTCTGGCCAGATGATGATTCGTCACTAAGAATTGGAATTTCTTATTGTAATTTGCCTCCTCTTTGTCCTAAATGTCGTCTGTTTGGTATTATTGGGGAATGTACTGCACATCAAGGTCAGCATCAAGGTCAAAAGTGGGTTCCTAATCGAGTATCTCAGCCGGTTAATTCAGTGGTTTCTATTCCTGAAAAGGTGCAAAGTGACAAGATGGACTCTCCAAGGATAGTACAGGATCAGCCAGTGGGTAATGGAAAGGGTAAGGTTGTAGTGATATATGATGCTGATCCACAGTTGAGTGTTATGATTCCAGAGTTTACTTTAGCAGCAGACATCCCTATCCCTCTAAACTTGGAGAAATCTTTTCAAGCTGTGGCTACTTCTCCTAAACTACCTACTGAGGATGAATTTCAGAGGGTGGTGAATGGGGCTAAACCTCGTGTTTGGTCTCCTCAACCAAGTCCTCAGCTTCAGATTTCTACATCAGCATTCAGTGTACTCAGTAAATTGGATGAGAACAATACCACTAAAGTTCTAGAGGCTCCAAGGAAGAAGGAAGGTAAGAAAGAGGTTAGGAAGGGTGGGGGGAAACCCTCTTCTTCCAAATGATTATTCTGTTCTGGAATGTGAGGGGGTTTAATAAAACCTCCAAGCAAAGGGACTTGATGCAAGTCCTTCGTAGAAATAAGGTAGATGTTGTAGCTGTGTTAGAAACTAGAATACAAAAAGAGAAGGCTGATGAGGCAGTGGAAGAAGTGTTTCAAGGATGGGAGAGGTGTCTGAACTTTGTTGATTCAAATCTGGGACGTGTGTGGCTGTTTTGGGACCCTGCTGTTAAGCTCATAGTGCTCAAACCGGGGAAGAATTATGTGCATTGTTTGGTTGAAGATATAGATAGGAGTAGTTTCTTTTTTACAGCAGTATATGCTGCTAATGATGAGGTAGAGTAGAGAAACTTATGGTGAAATTGCAAAGATGAAAGTTGATGGCTATCCTTGGATTGTGGGGGGGGGGGGGGGGATTTTAATACTGTGAGAGTACCAAGTAAAACATCAAATCTCACCTGTGCAACCCAAAATATGACTGACTTTAATGACTGGATTGGAGTAATGGAGCTGCTAGATCATAGAATGACAGGGCCACAGTTTACTTGAACCAATAGGCAACAAAATAATCCTATTGCCAAGAAACTTGATAGAGCTCTAGTCAATATTAAGTGGATTGAATCTTATAAAGATTGTGCAATGGAGGTTTTCCCAGCAGGGTTCACTGATCATTGTGGGGTTCAAGTCAGTACTGCAACTTCAGTTACTTCTTACCCAAAAACATTCAAGTATTTTGAGTTTTGGGCTGAGCATCCATTGTTTTTAGAAGTGGTTGAAGCAGCTTGGGCAATAGAGGTAGTGGGGACACCTATGCAGATAGTACAAAGCAAACTGTGAGAAGTTAAAAAAGCATTGAAAAAATTCAATAAAGAGGTTTATAAGGAGTTGCATAAGCAGGTTGAGGAGGCTACAGAGGAATTCAAAAGAGCACAAGTGCATGCTCTTTCTGACCCTACTGCTTCTCATTTTGCGGCAGTTAAGGTACATAAACAGAAATTGGATCAGTTAAGTTTGGCATATGAAAGCTTTTGTTGGCAGAAATCTAGAGTCTCATGGTTGACAGTAGGGGATACAAGTTCTGCGTTCTTTCATCAAGCTGTGAAGATAAGAAACTCAAAAAGAGCTATTAGAAAGTTAATTACTGAGACAGGGTTGAGTTAACACAATCTGATCAGATAATAGAGGAAGCTATCTCCTACTACAAAAGATTATTGGGTACAGTCAATTAGGATATCAAACCAGTGAAGGAAGAAGTAGAGAAGTTAGTGCAATGTAAGCTGTCAGGGGCAGATTGCTTGTTTTTGAATCGTTCCATTACACCTGAAGAAGTAAGGGAAGCTGTGTTTGCTATGAGTCCACAAATATCTTGTGTGAATATACTGTATAAGATTGTTGCTAAAATACTAGCTAAGAGGATCAGAGAAGTGTTGCCTAAGGTCATAAGTGGTACTCAGTCTGCATTCAATAAAGGGAGAAACATAATGGATAATATCCTATTGGCTCAAGAACTGGTTAGTGGATATCATAGGAAAGATTTGTCCTCACGATGTGCTATTAAGGTTGATATTATGAAAGCTTTTGACTCGGTAAATTGGTCATAGCTTTTCCTTATGATGAACTCAATGGGGTTTCCAGATCAGTTTATGAGGTGGATCAAGAGTTGTCTTC